ACTGCTACAATTTAATTAATTAAAATAACTTTTTTTTGTTTCTGTCCTTGTAGGAGCGAGCCAGACAACAGAAGATAAGAAACGCTTTTGATAAAATGGAAACACTGGTACCACTCAACCCAAACAATGGACACAGATTGGGCAGTAAACGTAACGTCATGAACTCTGTCATTGACCTTTACCCTTCAATCTTCAACTACCTGTCCTTCTTCAACAATGGTCTCCCCCTAACAGAGGCCCAACGTCTCCGAATTCTGCAGTCAGACAATCCTATGGAGGTACTGAACTGTAACATTCCACCTCATGGAACTGGCCATCAGATGACCACTACCACACCTCATAGAACTGGCCATCAGATGACCACTACCACACCTCATGGAACTGGCCATCAGATGACCACTACCACACCTCATAGAACTGGCCATCAGATGACCCCTACACCTCATGGAACTGGCCATCAGATGACCACTACCACACCTCATAGAACTGGCTATCAGATGACCACTACCACACCTCATGGAACTGGCCATCAGATGACCCCTACACCTCATGGAACTGGCCATCAGATGACCACTACCACACGTCATAGAACTGGCCATCAGATGACCACTACACTTCATGGAACTTGCCATCAGATGACCACTACCACACCTCATAGAACTGGCCATCAGATAACCACTACCACACCTCATGGAACTGGCCATCAGATGACCACTACACCTCATGGAACTGGCCATCAGATGACCACTACACCTCATGGAACTGGCCATCAGATGACCACTACACCTCATGGAACTTGCCATCAGATGACCACTACACCTCATGGAACTGGCCATCAGATAACCACTACCACACCACATGGAACTGGCCATCAGATGACCAGCACCACAATGCCAGCACCATACATCGACCCAACATTCAAGCAGATGAAGTCACATCTTGACCAGAAGATGGCGCCATTCTATCATCAATATCACGTGACTGGCCCCAGTGAGACCAAAGTATTCTATGTCCCCTACTCTCGGGCAGCTGGGGACGTGTGTGGGGTCCCACAACAACATTTGAGACCCTCAAACATCGACAGATCTCAAACTGTAGGCCCCCATGTACCTGTCAACACATTACGTCATGATGGAGGATCTCAAAATGTGGGACCCTCTCAGTATTTTCCAGGCCATCAACCTCAGATGGCCCCAAACATTCAGCCTCAATATGGCTCACTCACTGGCCATCCCAGTATGAATAACCTTGGCCATCCAATGCATGGCCCTGCTAGAAAAGGTTACTGACATTTTACTTGAAGTACAAGCCAGCCCATACACCCACCAGACTAAAACAGTAACTCTTCCATTTGTGAATCAACACCTAGGCTCACCATGACCCTACACCATGAGTCTCCAACATCAGCAAAGGACATTTTGAAAACTTGGTTGCTGACTATAAAACTGCTACAAGGATGTATCTTTAGAAAGTTTTATCATATTATTCTATGCTTCAATTTTTTAAGTGAAATAAAAGTTTTAAAATTTTAAAAATGTTTTCTGTGTTGTATAAATATGTGTGAGTTAACCGTTTGAAAGAATGATCTTATAACGAGCTGGTGCTCAAACTATGACACTACACTCAAAAGATAGGTTGATTTGAATATGATACCATTTATTAATTTGTCTAATTGATCTAATAAATGTAGCAATTATTATTAACACTAAGATATATAATTCTTATTATTATTTTGTCTTTCTAAAAATAAATTTTACGAATTTGACATTTTTAGTATTTTTGTAAACACACATATCTTTTCACACATCACCACCTTATATGATCCTACTTAAACAATCATACGCAATCTTAGACATACTAATTTAAAAAAAGATTCTTCAATATAACTTATTTAACCTTGATAGATATAGTCATGGTACAGTTTTAAAAAATTACCTTTAAAAGATCACATTTAGTCATTATAAAATTGGGTATATCACATATTAAATATACCGGTGGTGATCTCCCCTAAACTTTCTCGAATATTCTTATATAACACTTCGGGGGATGAAAACACGGTATAAAAATATGATTTTTTATTACTTAAACTTTTAAAAATAGAATAGAATCGCAAAGAAAAAAGAATTGCGGACCAAGTGAACGAGAAGCAAAATGTGTATAATAGTGCGGTATATTATTAGTATTTTATAAATTCACCTGCGTGTTTTTGAGAAATCGGAAATAGCGAATAGCGAGTTTTTCCAACTCGGGGTGGGGGGGGGGGGGGGGTGTAAAACGTCGAGATTTGCAAAAATATCTATTTTCATTTTTGCACGATTACAAGACTTTCTCTATAGGCTACTTCCTATATACGAGAAAGTAAAAGATAAATCTAATTATTATTTCTGCACTGTTCCTGTTGGCTCATCGATATTTTTCCTTAGGGCCTGCCACTTTTTCTTGAAACCTCGATGGGTAAATTGTGGTAATATCAGAGGTTTAGCAGCATAACACACGAAAAGATCAGACTTAAGATGGAATCTTTCAGATATTTCTACGAGGGAGGGTGGTGCCACTTGAAAATTTAACGAGAAGTGGTGGGGGGGAGGGGGGAGGCGAATTAAAAATTTGAGACAGGAATGAGCTTACTGTTCCATAAGAATATACGAGAAGGTTTATTAAGGGAAACCATTACCTATTTATGTAAAAAAGGTGATACATGTGTAAACAACAAATGTATAAAATAAAGGAACTTGTCCTGACTGACAGCATAAACAATTGATAGAATAATAAAATTTACAAAAAACTGTGCCATTATGTCAGAATGTTGTACTGTATCGGTGCGGTGGGCGGGGTCATAGCGGCATGGGTTGAAAGGGGGTGGGGATTGAGTGGGTGCGGTGGCCCACACATCAGGAGCAATGTTGCGTGACCTGAACGCTGTGATGTTCTACATACAGCGTGTGAGTTCGTGTGTTTCTATTTTTCAATAGGAAACTGAATGACAAATTTTAAATGGTGCGAAACAAAGTGGGGACATGGGGGTTGAGGGGTGGGAGTCAAATTAATGTTGATTGAAATGTAATTAGATAATACATCTCCCCTAAACTTTCTCGAATCTAATATTTAAAGCTCAATTCTGTATGTAATAAGTGTGTTTGTCGTTGACATACTTCTATGGATTTAAGGGTTAGACTATTATGGTGCTCATAGTCTAAATTTATGAGTTAAAAAATTACTATTGAAAGTATTGGGAAATAATTTTCATTTTTCGAACTGATAATAATAATTGTCGGCATGTTCATTAAACACAATTTTTTAAAAATTAGAAAAATTCTAATTATGTCTGAAAATTATTTATATTTTGTCCTTTAGCACTTACTTCCCTTTGATAAATTAGTAAAACACAATTACTTCCCTTTATAAAACATAGCATTAGTGGAAAAGAATTTACTTTTTATTACTTTGTTTTGGTGTGGGGAAAAAAATAATTACATAATTAGCGGGGATTGATCAAGTGCAAATTTTAATGTTGTAGGTATTTTACGGTTAAGCTTGGAGTATTATAATTGTTTATTTGGTTTGGTTTGGCACCTACGTTCGTTTAAGTGAGTGCAAAAAGACTATGAATAAGTTGGGGTACTATAGTCGTTTATTAAGCTGAAACAGACGATTCTGCCCCGGGCTAGACTGTGAGCACTTTGCGTTTATGTTCGCGTTTGTGTTTTCATTGTGTTTAGGTTGGGTTTGCTTTAGTGGTTGCGTTTTGATTTGGTTCGTTTTTGTTCTTTCTTTTTTCGTTTTCGATTGTGTTTTTTTTCTTTGGGTTTGTGTTTGTATTTGTGTTTGTGGTTGGTTTTGCGTTTGGATTTGGTTTGTTTTCGTGTGCTTTTTCGTTTGTGTTTTTTTCTTTGGGTTTGTGTTTGTGGTTGGTTTTGCGTTTGGATTTGGTTTGTTTTCGTTTTCTTTTTCGTTTGTTTTTTTCTTTGTGTTCGTATTGATGTTTGTGGTTGTGGTTGGGTTTGTCGTTAGGTTTTTGTTTTCGTTTGCTTTTTTGTTTGTTTTTTCTTTGTGTTTGTATTGGTGTTTGTGGTTGTGGTTGGGTTTGTTGTTAGGTTTTTGTTTTCGTTTGTATTTGTAATTGTGTTAGCGTTATGTTTGCATTTTGTTGTTTTGGTTGGTTGTGGTTTGGGTGGGCAATGTCGGGTTTATGATAATTACTAAACACACAGGTAATGGTCTTTAACAGAAAGGTTTTTCACAGAAGCCAGAGCAGGGCCTGGCCGGGACGGCTAGTATTTTTATATAACACTACCGGGATGGCAACTCGGGCTATACAATTGATTTTTTAAATCTGTTTTTACGATGTCAGAAATCGGAGAAATCGGAGAAATATGCAAACTATATTTAAATGTCTACTGAGGAGGTTGGCGTTTGTCGGGTCGGCTAAACTCAGTACCGAAAAGTCCCGAGTTCGAACTCCCGGGCTTATGAGGCTCGAAAGGTGGGGGCAACCACTGCTGCCTTGTAATTAATTTTTGGTTGGACAAAGGCTATGGAAGCAAATCCACAAAGAAACGCTGGCAAAAAATGGAGTCAACAAATGGCACATAACAAGCAGACACGTAATGTTGTTCCACCCTAGAATTAAGAAGGCAGAGGAAGAAGATGTCTAAATAATCGGAAAAAAGCTACGAAAAACATGTACATCAATAAAGTAGGTATATAATCGTTTATTTTATTTTAACGGTTTTAAAAGAATACTATAAATTTCCTATGCCCAACATTCGTTTTTTTCCTGCTGATTAAACATGATTACGTTACATAGCAGGTTGTATTCATGCTTGTTTCAGTAGTTTTAATGCTGATCTCCCCACCTTGTTCATATAAAGGGGTATACATTGAGATTAGGTTGCTAGTGGTCTGCCCCTGATCATGTCTGCCAATATAAATGTTCAACTGGTTGTATTGGTGTTCTGCCCTTGATCGTATCTACTGCTATAAATGTAGCAGAGGTTGAGGTGTTGTCTGCTATAAATGTGGGAGAGGTTGAGGTAATGGTCTGCCCTTGATCATGTCTGCTGCTATAAATGTGGGAGAGGTTGAGGTGGTGGTCTGCCCTGATCATGTCTGCTGCCCTCTCACCAATCATGATTGTGGGGGCGTTGGTGTCTGCCAACACCAACGCCCCCACAATCATGATTGGTGAGAGGGCAGCAGACATGATCAGGGGCAGACCACCATTTCAACCTCTCCCACATTTATAGTGGCAGACAATATCTACAACACATATATAGTATTAAACACTGTAGAAATAACTGTAAATTTCAACTAACCACTGTTAAACTAACACACTGGCTTAATATTAAGATCAACACTGTTAAACAGGAGCTACCAACATTCACTAGCACCTGGTTAAAGTCACGTGACAGGTGTTTGGTCTAGTAAACATGTCCTTGTAAACATAATGGTATCTGTCACACACTTATCAAGGTGTCAGGATAGATTCCTGTTGAGAGATGCGCTGTAAATGTTTGATAGGGATGTCTGTAGTTTTATTGGATGGTTTGATGGTGGTTGTATTGGATGGGTTGATGGGGATTGCACTGGATGGGTTGATGGGGATTGTAGAGGATGGGTTGATGGGGATTGTAGAGGATGGGTTGATGGGGATTGTATTGGATGGGTTGCTGATAGTTTTAATGGACGGGTTGCAGGTGTTTAAGTAGGTGTTAAAATGGAATGTAAATGATAGTATTAAGAAACAGTCAGGGTGTGATTTAAGACAGGTAGTACAGATAGGCAGTGGGTGTTTAAGACGGGGGTAGCTATCATTGTAAGAAAGAGAATTAGACATATTTAAATAAAAAAATAAAGCGGGAGTGATCTCCCCTAAACTTTTTTAATAAACTTTTATTTACCATAAAACAAATTACAACATATTTTACACTGGTAGGTTGGTAATACTTTACATAATGGCAAATTATATGTTAAAGTTAAATTGATATGTACAAATCGAAAGAATAATCAAAAGGGGAACAATTATACGCGGTTAAATATAACAAATGACCACAATTTACTAAGAAAACAACATTTCCAGATTACAGTTTAACTTTTTGATCACTTCCAAAAAAAAGGAAGGAATCCCCCATACTCAAATAATACATTTTAAACGGTATTCTGCTTAGTAATGTACATCTCAAATGCCTCGCATTTTTACTTTCTCGTATATACGTAGTATAGAAAAAGTATTGTAATCGTGCAAAAAAAAAATCGAGACTTTTACAAATCTCGACGTTTTACACCTCACTGATACGGAAAAACATAATTTTGCAATCTTGTCCGTATGTCTCTGTGTGTGTGTGTCTGCGTGTCTGTGTGTGTGTAAACACGATAACTTGAGTACCGTTACAGCTAGGTTGATGAAATTTCATATATAAGTATTTTATCAAAATCGTTGATCCGTATCAACTTTTGAGCGATTTACGATAACCGGAAGTGGTACTTTTTCTACTTTGAATTTTTCAAAAGCCTATAACTTGAGTACTATTTCGGATAGATAAATTAAATTTCACATGTAAGTAATAGATCTAATTCTCTACCTTCTATCAAATTTTGAGTAATTTTCATTGACCGGAAGTACTAATTTACGCTATTTCCGATTTCTCAAAAAACGCAAGTAAATTTATAAAGTACTAATAATATTGCGCACTATTTTGCACATTTTGTTTCGGCGTTTGTTTGGTGCGCAATTTTTTTTTCTATGAGATTCTATTCTATTTTTAAAAGTTTAAGTAATTAAAAATCATGTCTACATTCCAAGTTATGTAAGAATATTCGAGAAAGTTTATGGGAGATCACTCCCGGTTTATTTTTAAAAAGTTTAAGTATTTAAAATGGATTAAAAATCATAACTATATCCCGAGTTCCCATCCCCTGTTGTTTTATATAAGAATATTCGAGAAAGTTTAGGGGAGATCACTCCCGGTTTATTTTAATTGGCACAATTCGAGGCTAAAAGATGAAAAATATGGTAAGCTGATTTGAAATGCGAATTGTAAGCAAATGAGCAAACGATCATTATTCTATACCTCTTGATGAGGTAGATGACCTTTCTTAAAACACGTCGATACAAGTTTTACTCCTGTGATTTATTCACAAGTCTAATCATTACAAACAAAACTGATAATTGTTTATTAAAATAATTTAACATTTAATCTTGCACGTGAATTTAAAAAAAAAAAAGCATTGTCATTTAGAAAAAAGAAAGTAATGAAAAAAATTGTTTAGTAACTCCGGACTTGATGGATTCTAATCTGTATGAACTCTAATGCTAAAGTTCCTAGGAATTTCTTGTTATATATATATATATATATATATATATATATATATATATATATATATATATATATATATATAGGTTTGGGCCCAAATATTCCCATTACACAAGCTGCATATTTCAACCTAAAAAAGAATTAGTGATTGTCTGACTCGATCTGGTAGGCAAAAGATTGTCCGTTTAGCTAGACAGGGGTTGTAATATCTGTTAGACAGGGGTTGTCATATCTGCTAGACAGGGGTTGTCATATCTGCTAGACAGGGGTTGTCATATCTGCTAGACAGGGGTTGTCATATCTGCTAGACAGGGGTTGTCATATCTGCTAGGCAGGTGGTTGTCTGATAAGATGTGGTTGTCTGTGGTTGTCTCGTGTTTTCCGTCAGACAGAACAGTTGGAAAAATCTGGTAGCTGAGTCTGGAGAACACGCAGGAGAAATGTTAAGATACGAGTCGTCTCTCTTACTGCACTGGCGTGGCCAAGTTGGCCAATCAGAGAAGACAACGTGGCGAAATTTAATTTTTATTTTAGTTTGACAAACAGGCGATCGTTACGGTCCATTGATGACGTTTTGTTGACAAACTAGAGATTGATGGTTTTATTTATTCGGTAGATGGACGGGCAGGTGATATTTCTGTGGCTGATGTGGTCCAGTGAACTTGACCAAATATTTTTTTACCTGCACGTTTTGACACCAGGCGGACAATCAGCCCGATTTGTTGGTGTAGCCGTTGGTCCCACTTTGATGTTGTTGTCATCAGTGTTCCCTCTAAGCTGCGCGGCTGCGCGGCCGCGCAGTACTTTCAAATGTGCCGCGCAGACATTTTCTGACCCCGCGCACAGATTATCAGAACGTCGGGCGAGCCTGATTCACTAAAAAAATTGTGGCCAGCGGTTTGAATGAAGCGACATTTTTAGTACCTGTTTTGTTAAAGGAACAGTCATTGTGTTTTGGGACATAAACAGAAACCAAGGGGTATCATTGACTTGGGGGAGGGGGTGACCTCGGTTGTCATACCACAGGTCCAGTTAATGACTTAACTCTAAATTGAGCGGGGCGGGTTCCGATGTGATGTCTCGGTGACCCTCCCTCTGCTTGATTTAATGGTTTACCCCAAAACTGACCGTAGCGGAAAGGTATAGCGGCTACTAGCTGACCATGCAAGGTTTTATTTTCTATTGTCACTGCCCTCCCCCATCTCCCAAACCCCCACCCACCTCCAGATACTATGACGGTTTACCCAAGTCAGATGCAAAATCTACTTTACTAAAGGTGGAAGTGTTTTTGTTCTGTTTGGTTTAAGGATTTATACACTATATATCCAATTCTTGGGATTATTACGTGCACCTGGATCGAACTGTTTCAGTGATAACAAACTGGTTTGGTAAATAAGGAATAAAAGTTTACTACTCTATGCTATTTGAAAATGTTGAAAAGAAAAATGTGAGTAACAAGCAGTACAACAATGTGGCACCAAAAAAAAAGCGATAGATTCGTTTCAACTGGAATGGCTCAAAGTTAAAGTAACAACCGATACACCAGATCAAAGAATGTTTCCGTTGAATTAGAAAGCATCTATATTCAGATTAGATTCGACTGAAGTGTAAGTTCTGTGCTGCTACTACTTGTAACAAAACCAACAAGAGCAACGAATTGGTCACAGGAAAGCTCTGGCAATCATGGAAGCTTGACTACTGTAAACGTCATTTATTGTCTCGTGTTTACGTAGGAAATGTTGCGATTTCGTACAACAGCTCACATGGAACTGACCTTAAACGTCTGCTGGTTGAAACTTACACTGAGCGAGGAAAACTAATTGAGCAAAACGAGCGCCAGCGTTCAAACGAGGATCAAGTTCGAATCCTAACGGATAATGTTTTTCTTACCATAAGGATGAACGCCTCGATGCTGTCGGTACAACTGATTCATAATCACATGGGGAAGTATGTTTCTATCTCAGACAGTTGGCGAAGTAAGAAATACGCCTTTGAGTTTGTTCACGTAATCAACGAAGTTGTTGTAAAGAACATACTGACAGAACTTCGAGCAGCATCATTCCACACACTTATAGTTGATGGCATAACAGTACATAAAATGCTAATCCTTTATTTTAAATTTTGTCCAGTCTATTCTGTATTCTACAAAACCGTTTTTAGTGGAATAACTAATTACAGCTTACTGTAAGTGATACCTTAGCTCTGGAGACCGCTATAACAAAGCACTACACTGAACATTAAAGCCAAGAAAAGTGTGAGTTAAACGAAAGAATCGACACAAGGCAAACCACACAGTACATACAATCAGTCTGCGAACATTTAAATGTTAGGTTTCCAGGAGATGAACTGCAGTTTTTGTCATCTTTTTTTTATGCTACAGGTTTAAAAAAAAATGTGCATTTGAGTTCGGCGTCAAAGATATCAAAGAACTGGGCGTAAAGTACAAAGACGGGTTACGTACAACAAATGATCAGTTAATTACCACCCAATACAACGACTTCAAATTTCAATAAAGTGAAAAACTCAAATCTGTTTCTGTAAATTATATGTCTGAATATGCAAGATTTGTCAAAACAAAGAACAATTTAGCTCACTTGCAAAGTTAAGTGACATTATTGTACCAAGCATGCAGTGCTGATTACGAACAAGGTTTTAGCCTTATTAACATAATAAAAGTGCAAGCACGAAATAGACTTGAAGCCACACATTTGGAG